ATGATGAAGGGAACAATGCTGATTTCCAAGAAGATTTTGGAGACTTTCTACTTAGAACTAGATCATATTTTCTCCCCAACTGTTAAAATTACCAGACTGAGCCGGATTTGAAATTTAGAAACCAAATGTGAAATAAAGACCCATGCTTGGCAAAGATGGAGCCTAGCAGGGGAATGTTCTTAGGAAGTTACAGTTAGAGAGCCAGGGTGGGCGTGGGGTGGGGGTGAGGGGATGCAGGCAGGAAAGGAGGCAGTGATTCTTCAGTCGATGGTTTAGATAAATTTACGTGGCTTCCCATGCTCCCCCAAAGAAGCCCGCTAGCCACTCTCTGGTGTTTGAGTTTATCACTACCACCCAAGAAAGAGGAGTTGCTGCCCCAAGAATGGGAATGAGGGGGTCCCTTGCATCGGTCTTCCACACTTCTCTGTGGTAGGCGATTCCAGCTGCTCCTTCCCTTCCCTCTAACCTCCCCCTCCCCGTTCCTGGTTCTGGCTAGGACCTCTCCATCTGGAAGCATTTAAAATGTACAATGATTTTAATCTCGTGCAAAGGAATCTTGGGATCTAAACTACATACCCATTAAGCTAAATTATACGTGCACAATCTTATTTTGCACAATTCTGTCTGGCCCAGGTTGGCACGCACTAAAGGCTATTATGGTCTATCCCAATTACTTTCTCTACTACGCCATCGTTTTCTATAACTTCAGCCCAAGGACAGCAGTATTTCTCTGAGAAACTCGAGCTGCGTAGGTCCCAGGACAAAGATCCTCTTAGAGTCCCTCAAACCTGTACTGAGAGCCCCTCGAACCTCTTGGACACTGTCCAAATAAATTACTTTGCACTCAGCTTCTCTCCCCTACAGACCCTAATCAAATTAGATTGACCTGCTCTTTCCGCCATCTTTGAACCCGTGGAGGCCTGCTGGGAACAGGACTCCTGAAACGACAAATATGTCTGGAAGGTTGTGGTCCAAAGCCATTTTTGCTGGCTATAAACGGGGTCTCAGGAACCAGAGGGAGCACACAGCTCTTCTTAAAATTGAAGGTGTTTATGCCCGAGATGAAACTGAGTTCTATCTAGGCAAGAGATGTGCTTATGTATACAAAGCAAAGAACAACACAGTGACTCCTGGTGGCAAACCGAATAAAACCAGAGTAATCTGGGGAAAAGTAACTCGTGCTCATGGAAACAGTGGCATGGTTCGTGCAAAATTCCGAAGCAACCTTCCTGCTAAAGCCATTGGCCACAGAATCCGTGTGATGCTGTACCCCTCAAGGATTTAAACTAACTGAAAAGTAAATAAATAAAGGTGTAGATTTGTTCTCTTGTATTTTTGTTAAAAAAAAAAAACAAAAAAACAAATTAGATTGACCTGGGTACAAGTACCACTTGTTACTTAATAAATGTACAACCTTGGGGGAGTTATTTCACTTCCTTGCATCTCAGTTTACCAGTCTGTAAAATGGGCATAATAATCATATGTACCTCATAGTGTTGTTGTGGGATTAAATGAGATACGTGTGTAAAATACACAGTTAAGTTGTCTGGCCCAGACTATGAAGTTAATAGATGTTACTGTTATTATGAAAACTACACTTTAGTGAACTCTACAACTTTTCTAAGAGCACTTATATTTTTGCAGAGGTGGCCGGTTTCCTTTCAAACATGTCCACCCGCCCAATCCCTCACCAATGCCAAACCACCCAACCCAATTCCCTACGAACCAGCATTACTCTAGATGGGGGACATGAGGTTTCTGATCAACCAACTGGGATTTTTCATCAGTCCCCAGGCAGTCTTCCATGCATGCCCAAGTTTTAAACCTACAGTCTCAGAACTCTATAATCTGCACAGAAATCATTCTCCTTCAAACCAAACCAAACTTCTCACTTTATCTAGAGAGCATAGCTATGTATGGAAGCGGGGGAGAAAGAGGTTTTCACTCTGCTTCAAAAAGCAAAGTGATAGTGTTCCCTAAGGACCCCTCCACCACCACCAAGAACACGAGTCACACTTCATCTGTCCCTTTTGCAAAGAAGAAAGGGGATGGCACCATTTAATGGGTCTGATGAATAGCTTTCTCTCAAAGGGGGAAATATAGAATCTATGAGTCTAGTATTTGTTGTTCCCTGGCCAGGGGTAGTTTCAGCAATAATTCATGGATCCTGATGTTGGCCAGAATAGAGTAGTCAGGGATCCACCTTGGACATTTTATGTAGCACTGGTCTTGATCATGCAGAATTGCTCTGAGGACTAAAAGAGACTCTATGGGCTCTTGGCAAATGGTAATTATTATTTCCACCAAGCTGGCCTCACTTGAAATCCTGGGTGATAATCAGGAAATGTGTGTGTCTTCCATGCCCTATATTCATTGGAGATGTCCCCCTCTGTGGCTTCCTAGCCTCCAGTGGCTAGATGTATTTTGAAGGGCAGCCTCAGCAATAAAGACTTGAAAAGAACCACCCCCTTGCTCACAGCCCTGCTAAGGGGTGGACCTTGGTGGCTGTTTGTGCCCATGGCTCTGGGGAAGACAATATGAAGGGGCAATTTATAGGCTGGGAAGTCACTTGTGGCCTGGTATAAAAAGTGAGTTGACAGGGCACCTGGATGGCTCAGTCCGTTGAGTGTCTGACTCCTGGTTTTAGTTCAGGTCATGATCTCAGTTTGTGGGTTTGAGTCCCAAGTTGGGCTCTGCACTGACAATGAGAAGCCTGCCTGGGATTCTGTGTCACCTTTTCTCTCTGCCCCTCCCCCTCATGTGCTTGCTTGTTTTTTTCTCTCTCTCTCTCTCTCTCAAAAAATAAACAAACATTAACAAAAAATTAGTCCAGTCAATGAGATTCCTCTCTGGTAATCTGGAATCAAGAGTGAGAAACTGGGTTGGTAGCAGAGACACATGGAACATGACTGGCTATGTTAAGGGCAGAACACCCTCATGAAGGTGACAGATTCCCATTGCTGAGGCTCACCAGGGGTGCCTTGATTCCAGAACCACTCTCCCATAAAGGCTGGCTGTTCAGGGTTCTTCCTCTGGACACCATAAACCTTTTTTCCAATATTAGTGTAACAAACACCTCCTCTTTTGAGTTAGCTTGAGTAGGTTTTGGTTTCTTCCAACAAAAAAAGCCTTCAATAAAACAGCACCCACCAGGCCACCTGGGTGGCGCAGCTGATTGAGTATCTGACTTCGGCTCAGGTCATGATGTCACAGTACATGGGTTTGAGCCCCTTGTCAGGCTCTGTACTGACAGCTTGGAGCCTGCTTCAGATTCTGTGTCTCCCTCTCTCTCTCCTCCTCCCCTGCCCATGCTCGTGCTCTCTCTCTGTCTCTCAAAAATAAATAGACATCAAAAAATTAAAACTAAAAATAAATAAAAAATTAAACAACAAAAAATTACAAAAATAAAACAACCCCTACTCTTGGGAAGAACATGCAGATGGAGCTGTATCTAAACATTCTGGGCATTTCTGATGCAAGGTATTGCTTTAACAGGTAGTTACACAGAATGCAAACACCACGGTTCCTGACTCACCTCTCTCTGGCTCCCCTGTATTGTAAAAATTGGAAAGGTTAAAGCTCTCTCCTTCAACCTTCCTTGCAGCTGGGGAGGTCATGTGACACAGTTCTGGCCAATGAGACACAAGTGAGTATATGTTGGAGCAGGCAGGCTGCTACCCCTCTTTTCATGCCTTGCCTGAAGATGTTATTGCTTAAAGCTGCTGCTATCATCTTGCAACCACGAAGGAAAAGTCAGAGCAGCAGAGATACTGACCCTAGTGCGCTAGAGGTGATGCACCAACACTAGCAGCCACCAAACTCCAGCCTCCTTATTAGGTGAAAAGAATAGAGCCTTAACCTTAATCTATTACTTAGATTTCTCTGTAACTTAGAAAAGCAAAATGTTTTCTAAAGATATAACCTGAAACAGAATTTAATGTTTCCTGTATCATAAGAAAAAATGTGTTGTTGGTTTCTTTAACATTAGTTTCAGGAGGGGGAAAATTTTTTTAATGTTATTTTTGAGAGAGAGAGAGAGAGCGCATGCGCGCAAGCGGGGGTGGGTCAGAGAGAGAGGGAGACACAGAATCTGAAGCAGGCTGTCAGCACAGAGCCCGCTCGATGAGGGGCTCGAACTCACAAACCTTGAGATCATGACCTGAGCTGAAGTTGGATGCTTACCTGACTGAGCCACCCAGGCGCCCCAGAAAAAAAAATTTTTTTAACCAAAGATATGACAACCTGTTTCTCAGTTAACTTCTCTAAATATCAGCTGAGTGATACAAGTTCTGCAGGAAATTAAAATCTATGAGGGGATAAAGTATATACGTGAACAAGTATGATATAAGGCAGAGAGTGGAAGTGCTCTAAAAGGTAGCTGCTTTATGTGTATCGATATAGAGAGAGACGTTATTTCTGGATGGGGGAGGGAGAAATAGGAAAGTCTCCACAGGAGAAGCATGTGAGTTAAACCCTAGAGAAAAAAAGAATTTGGAGTTTGTAGACAGGGAGGAAAGGCATTCTAGTCAAAAGGAATAGTTTAAGCAACTGTGGGAAACTGAAGGCCATGTGCAGGAAGGACACAGCAAATTCTTTTTGGTAAGTTTAGAGGAACAAAGAGCAAATTTTTGGTCTAGAAAGTCAGACAAATTACAATCAGCCTTGAGTGCCAACCAAAGGAGTCTGGGCTTTATTCTCATAGCCCCGGGATGTGGTCTCTGAGCAATCAGGGGTCAGAATGCATGTTTGACGACAATATGTGGGAAGGATTGAGAAGGCAGGAAATGCCACTCGGGGGCTATGCAACAACCACCTGGGCAGGAAGTGAGGAAGGTTTGAAGCAGGACAGTCAGAGTGAGGATGGAGTGGGACGAAGAAACACTGCAGAAGCACATGTGACGAAAGGGGGCTCCTGTCTGGGTGAGAGGTGCAAGCCATGGGAGGAAGAATGTAGAAAATATTTGATTGAACAAAATAGAAACAAAAACCTCATGTAGTACCTCTGGAGCTGAAGACAGGAATGGTTTTATGTAGATGTTGGAGTCATGCACCTTCAGGTCATGGTCCCCAAGTCCCCGGGTCACTCCAATAGTTGCCATTACACGGGCCTAGGAGTATAAGCAGAGGGTCATCAGAAACACATACAGAGAAAGCATTCCTGGCACAATGTGGCAGCCACACGCCAAGAAAACACATTACTTTTCCAGTTCTTTCTGTCTCTCTCCAGATCCCCTGCTCCGAACTTAACATGGGTAGCTATTTCCAAAGAAGGGCTTGCCAAGATCACTTAAGTACTTAAGGAGTGGTTTTTCTACCAATTATCTTAAGTTTAATGGGCTGCTGCTGTCTCTTTTTGGCTTTCTTTTGTAGAGACTGGAAGGAAGGGCAGCCAGTAAACTAAATCAACAAGTGGGTGATGTCTATAGCCCCTGAAATCAGTTCAAATCAAATCCAACACAATCTGTCCATCCATCCGTCCGTCTGTGATACACCCACCCTTATAAGTATTTGTTCAACACAACTGCCATGTCTCTAGTTCCTGACAGGCACTAGTTAAAAGATTTAAAAAAAAAAAAAAAAAAGGCAAAGGCAGCTCCCACCCTCCCCAAGTTCATATATTACACTTTATAGTAGAGAAAAGAAACTCTTTGAACTTTGTAACCTGTCCTAACATCCCTACCAATTCCCTCTGGGTGGAAAGGAACAAAATGTCACTTTCTTTTTTTTTTTTTTTTTTTTTACAAATAGTTTATTGTCAAATTAGTTTCCACATAACACTCAGTGCTCATCCCCAAAGTGCCCTCCTCCATGCCCATCCCCCCCTCCCCCC